CATTAGTATGATGAAGTATTGATGAATGTTGGATTTAAAAAAAACATATAAAAAATAAAATATAACTAGGTGGTCATTCAAAAAAAATTAAAAAATGATAAGAAATCTCCGAATATCCGAATCGAACCAAACCGAGCCGAACCGTTTCGATAGTCCCGAGAACCGAACCGAAAAATAAAAATCTCCGAACCGGACCGAACCGATTTTTTGGTACGGTTCTGGAGATCAAATTTTAGTGATCTCCGAACTTCGGTTCGGTTCGGTTCTGAAGATTTATCAATCTCCGAACCGTACCGACCCATGCTCACCCCTAAATATTAATGGGGAAGTTTGTGGTTTTATTAATCCTTCCAGAGGTATTCGGCAAGGTGACCCGTTATCCCCGTACTTGTTTATTGTATTATCAAAAGCTTTTTCAAATCTTATTAGGAGAGCATCTGTGGGAGCTGGGTTGAAAGGGATGAGGATTTGTCGAGCTGCTCCAATTATTACCCACCTATTTTTTGCAGATGATACATTATTATTTTGTAAAGTGGATGAGCAACAAGCTATCATTTTGAGGAGGGTACTGGAGAGTTATTGCAAAGCCTCTGGTCAAAAAATTAATATGGCGAAATCCTCATGCTACTTCAGCAAAAATACATTGAAGGAGGAAAGAAGGAGCATTAGCCATTTGTTGGGAGGAATGGAGATCCAGGAGAATTCTAGGTACTTGGGTTTTCCACTTGCTGTGGGAAGATCCAAAAAAGACTTATTTAATTTTGTTGTTGAGATGGCTCAGAAAAGGATTACAAATTGGAAAAATGGTTTTCTAAATCATGCGGGTAAAGCAGTTTTAATTAAGGCAGTTATTCATGCACTCCTAGTGTATATCATGTCGTGTTTTCGATTGCCTTTGACTGTGGTTAAAGCTTTGGATGCAATTACAGCCAAATTCTGGTGGGGAGCAAATGGTGCAAATGTAGACAAAACTTATTGGGTGGAATGGAAAAAATTGTGCTTACCTAAAAAGCAATGGTGTTTGGGTTTTAAAAGCTTGAAATTTTTTAATGAAGCTCTCTTGATGAAGCAGCTTTGGCGGGTAATTACAAAGCCTCACCTTCTAATGAGCAAACTACTGCAAGCAAAATATATAAAAGGAAGTGATTGGTGGTCTTTGAGAGGCAAAGAGAACCAGTCTTAGATGTGGAAGAGCTGGGTGCATTCAATTCACTATTGAAGATGGGCCTTAGAGTCAAAATTGGCAATGGACAACAAACAAAAATTTGGGAAGTGCCTTGGGTACCTACTCTGCCTGAATTCAAAGTGAAATCTGGGGTACTGAATGGGAGGGGATTGGTGTGGGTGAGCCAGCTCATGGTGGAAGGTAAAATTGAATGGGATGGTCAGCTTGTCAGAAAAATATTCTCTAAGGAGAAGGCAGACGCTATTCTAAAAATTAAACTGCTGGAACATGGTGGAGAAGATTCATGGACATGGCATGGGAACTCTAACGGAGATTTCTCGGTGAAGTCAGCCTATGAGTTAATATGAAGAAGGAAAGCAAAAAAAGTGATCAGCCTGAGAGTAGTACATGTGGGAAATTGCAGCTCAACATGTGGAGGAGAACTTGGAGACTTAGGATAAAACATAAATTATAACACTTTATGTGGAAGAGTATAAATAATGCACTGCCCTTGATGAATAATTTGTGGAGAAGGAAAGTTAATGAGAGTGACAGATGTGAAGTTTGCGGGGAGGAATCAGAGACTTTAACTCACATGTTTTTTTCTTGTGTTAAAGCTCAAAAAGTTTGGAAGTTATCACCTTTGTGTTGGGATGGCTATGAGGATTACCAGTCGAATGTAGGTAAATGGTGGTCTAAAATTTGTTCAGCCCTAATACTGTTATTTATAATGATAGATTGGAGTTGACGGTGTATATATTATGGTGGCTATGGAAGACGAGGAACTTGTGGATGTTTGAAAAGATTTGGATAGATGAGGTTGAGGTGGTGAACAAGGCTTGTTTGGAATGGCAGGAGTTCAGTCAGATTAGTGTGTAGGGAGGGGAAGAATTTTCTTTTATGTTTATCTTTTTCTTGTACAGCTTCTGTTTTTTGGTCTTGGGAAGTTTAGATGGTAGGGATCCCATGGGGATATCCAGTAGTAGTTCTTCTTCCCGTTGTACAGTTTGGTTTGTATATTTCTTTTCTGTTTTTGGTAGATTAGGGGCTGCTGTATTTTTTGTGGGGTTCAATTTTCCTTTATTTGCTAGTTGTGTGTTGCCAGTTGCTTGGGCCCTGGTTTTTTGTTTGGATTGAGGGTGGGGCTCCTTTTGATTTCTTTTGATTTTTTATTCTAGATTTTGGTTTAGATTTTGGTTATGTTTGTTTACTGCCCTTTTTTTTGGGAGTCTTAGTCTCTTGGTAAATTATGTAAACCCAAGAGAAGTGTGTATTGTAACTCTTTTTAACGTTGGAATGAAATTTTCGATCGTTTCGGAAAAAAATAGAATATTTTTTATCGTCATCACAATAAAAATACGAGGTTTTTACTGTGCCTATTGCCAATTTGTTATTATTTATTAATAATGTATAAAGTATTTTTATTGTGAGATTATAACAGCGAGTGAAATTAAGCTGAAGATCAATGACATAATTGACCTGTAATATTGTATTTTTCTTTCATCAGAGCTATATATGTCCAAATAATATTAACTATTACAATACCTGTGTAAATACACGGGTTGAATTAGGAAGCATATGTAATTGATATTAATTTTTATTAAACTAAAATAATTTAATTTTTTATAAAACATTACTTTAGGTTTTAATTAAATTGTCAAATTATATTTTCTTAATCATAATAATTAAACACCCGTATATTAAATGAAAATGTCAACTCATATTGAATTTTTTTACTTATATCATATAAAATTATCGATATTATTTACTATTATTAAGTAAAAAAATATATATTTTAAATAAATAGAAATAATATAGTGATATGTATATGCATAAATGCAGAAATATGTTTGTTTAATATTAAACAAAATAGATTAATACATCAAGTATAGTATCCGTTGTGCTTCACAGTTTTCTAACTTTATATGTAATTTTAGAATTTAGATAAATAATCATTTATTTTTATTAGATTGATAACATAGCAATTAGATTTGAAATAAATATCATTTTTAAAAAGAATGCATACCAATTTCTATTACTTTATAATATAATTTATACTTTTATTTGATATCTTTTAATTTAGTTTGATAAATAAACTTAAATTTTATTTATAAGAATATATATTACTATTTTGTATTATATATATATATATTGATTAGTCGACAAAAGTGTGTATTTTATATATTTATTAGCGTATTTCTATATGCTTAATTTTTATCGCACTTATATGTTTTTCGACTTATTTATTTTTTTAAATAAATTCATGTACTTTGATATTTTATTATTTATTTTCAGCAATTTGAAGAATATTAGGAGATGCCAATGAACGGACCGGTAATGTTGAGTAATCACTCGAAAAAGAAAGATTTGGGTCCAAAATAAAATCCAATGATTTGGGCCCAAAAGAAAAAGAGAGAAGCAGACGCAAAAAGATATCGGACAGAAGGGAGTAACCCGATCAAACGCGGAGGGAGGCCACATCCGCACACGAGAGAGATAATTAATCTCTCTCTTTTATCTTTTTCTTTTTATTTAGTATGTTAGAGTAGATTTTATTCTAGTTCCGGTGATGTCGAACCTTACGACTTGACGATGTTTGATTAATTTTCGTGGTTGATAATTTCAATATTTTTTTTTTGAATTGTTTGTGTTATTTTGAATAATTCACCATGATGTGTTAGTCTTGTTTAGATTGATCACCTAGATTAGACTTTTCATATCTACATCTGAATTAGACCTGCAATCCGCAATTGTTGTTGTATTTAATTCATAAGAGGTAACTGGAAGATGGTAACTACCGGGGATAACACGGCCTAATTAAGTGAACGAACGTGGTTGAGTTCACTAATTAGTCTAGCCTATTTTTCTAAATCGTAAAGCGGCTAATTGTATTAAATCTTGAAAACGTTTTTCCGGACTGTACAAGAAGTCAGGTTTAATCGTCGAGCGTCTCGTGGTTAAATTAAAAATAAGGAAAAATTCGGGTACGGAACCGTGAACTAGAAAGTTCTCTTTATTTATTTATTTTTATTTTTATTTTCTTGTTTAGATTTTATTTATTTCATTAGATTTTTAGGTAGTTTAGTTATTAAATCAAAACATTTATTTTTTTTATAATTTCAATTAATACGAGAAAATTCACGATTTGATTCACACTCCTCGTGGGATCGATCCTTGCTAGCCACTACTACAAGTTAGTAGGGGTTAGTTGAGGAAAAATATAAATATTAATTTTGCCGCGTTGCGACGCGCGGTCATATATATAAAATATGGATGTCATATCGAAAATCATTAAAAGATAGTTAATTTGATAGATCATATATAAAAAATAAAATACAAACAAAAAAGTTATAAAATCTTAAAATAAGAAGAAGAAACATTTATAATAACTAATGAATGTAATGTATGATAATATATGAAAAAGAAATATAAAATAATTTATGGTAACTAATTGTAGAAGTAAAGAAGGAAAAAATAAATCATGAATTTAGTGTGATAAAAAAAATATTAAATTGTGTCAAATAAGATTTCGAAGCCACCTCAACTTGAAATTATAGAGGGATACTCAATTAGGGTTTTCTCACAAACAATGTTGAAAATTGAAATTATACTCTGTTACTGGCATTCATTTATATCCTCATCACGTCCAGTCGCTAACTTCAAATCAACTCTAGTACACCAAATCACGTGAAGCTAAGCTACTGAGAGGCCAGCCATTTCGAGGCCAAAAGATTCAAGTGTTAGATTTAGCTGGTGGCAAGCACTGATCAGCCACCTCATAAGGTTTGAAATTGTCCTTATATTTCAGTATAATTCAATTCTTGCGAAGATATAGCTATGCTCTGAATGGATATTTCCTCGATGACTTTGAATCTGCTGGTTTACCCCGTTTTCCCCTTTTACGGTCGTCGATGAGATTAAATTTGGTCGTATTTAGATGGAGGCAGTTTGTCTCAACACTGAGCCTATTTTCGGTGAGGATGATGATTATGAAAACGGAGTCTGTTCAATGGTGGAAAATAGTGGTAATACTCAAGAAATGCAGTTGAAAAGGGATTTTCTGCCACCCACTGTTGGTTTGGAGTTTGATTCTTTCGATGAAGCGTACAACCTCTACAATATCTATGCCAAAAGACAAGGCTTTGGAATCCGAGTGAGCAATTCGTGGTTCAGATCGAAAAGAAGGGAGAGATACAGAGCGAAACTCAGCTGCAGCAGTGCCGGTTTCAAGAAAAAAACCAAAGCCAGCAATCCAAGGCCGGAAACAAGGACGGGATGTCCTGCAATGGTGATCATCAAGCTCGTGGATGCTCTCAGGTGGAGAATAATCGATGTCGAGCTCAGTCACAATCATCCAATGATGAGCCCGGATATCATACGTCTCTACAAATCGCATAAAAGAATTGAGAAAGCACAGCAGTGTGTGACCGTGAAAGAAGTACACACGATCAGGTTGTACACAACAGCTGTCTCGGATGCCATGTGTAACGGACAATCTAAGACCGATGATATAAATCCAGTTGATGGAAGAAAGCATCTGAACCTCAAAGAAGGGGATGCAAATGCAGTTTATAATTTCTTTTGTCGTATGAAGCTGACGAATCCAAATTTCTTTTATCTGTTGGATCTTGATGAAGAGGGGCACTTGAGGAATGTTTTGTGGGCTGATGCTAGGTCTAGGATTGCATATAATTACTTCTGCGACACAATCATGATTGATACAACAAGTTTGACGAACAAATACGAGGTACCATTGGTTTCGTTTGTGGGGGTAAACCACCACGGGCAGTCTATTCTGTTGGGTTGCGGCTTTCTGGGACACGAGTCGGCCGAGTATTTCATTTGGATGCTTAGGGCGTGGCTTACATGTATGCTGGGTCGTCATCCACAAGTTATTGTTACCGACCAGTCCAAACCGCTGCTGATGGCAGTCTCCGAGGTATTCCCACGGGCTCATCATTGTTATTGTGTGTCTTATATAATGGCTCGTGTTCCTGAAAAAATGGGTGGAATGGTCGGTTTTGAGGAAATGCGGAGGCAACTGCATAAAGCAGTTTATGATCATGCCTTGAAGATATCTGAGTTTGAGAAACTCTGGGGGGAGATGATTAATCAACACGGCCTGGGGGGGAATAAATGGCTCCAGTTATTGTATGAAGATCGGCAAAGATGGGGACCGGTATATTTAAAAGACACGTCTTTTGTGGGTATGCTCCCAATAAACGGGACTGAGGGCCCACGTACATTTTTCAATGGTTATGTACAAAAGCACACATCTTTCAAAGAATGCCTTGACAAGTACGACCTGGCCCTACAAAGAAACCAAATGAAAGAAGCCCTGGAAGATTATGAGTCCAGAAATTCAAACTTTGAGTTGAAAACAAAATCTAAATTTGAGCTGCAGCTCTCTAAGGTTTACACGAGGAAAATGTTCAAGAAATGTCAAATTGAAGTTGAAGGTATGTGTTTATGCTTCAACACAAAGCGAGCAACTAATAATGGCCCAGTAACAACATTTGTCGTGGAAGAGCGAATTGAAACTGGAGGAAATGAGAAGGAAGTCAGACATTATTATGAAGTTCTATTTGAGTCGACCAGAGCAGAAGTTCGCTGCATTTGTGGTTTGTTCAATTTCAAAGGCTATTTGTGCAGGCATGCCTTGACTGTTCTTAATTACAATGGGGTGGAAGAAATACCGGCACAATACATCCTGCCTCGTTGGAATAGAGATTACAAGCTCAACTTTCTCTTAGACATTGGATTTAGTGATGCTGATGGTGATAATTCCATGTTGCGGTACAATCATCTTTTTAGGCAAGCCCTTCAAGTTCTTGAAGAGGGGACACAATCCCTACAACAGTATGAAGCTGTAATGCAAGAATTAGACACCCTACTCACTAGATTTAGTCTGGGAGACGCAGATTTTGGGAGAATCTAAATGATGCTTGGTCATTTTGCGTCTAGTTTAACATGACTACTTGTAAAATTGTATTGGATTCATGAAATGTGCTCAATATACGTTTCCATTTTTTTTAATTGTGTTTTTCAATTTATGGTGCGCCACGACTTTCTAACTTTTGTAACTTCTTGTATCTTGAACCTTATAGTTTCAATTAATATTATGGAAGCCGCCAATATTATTTTTGTATATGTAGCATGTATTGAAATATTCCGGCCAGAAAAGTGGGTTGTTGGGAACTTGTGAACTGTGATACTAGATTGAACAAAAATTATTAACATAGACGTGGTCGACAATATAAATTATCATACAAGTAACCTATAAAATATGAAATTAAAAAAAAAATTATCAAGAAAAAAGAACAAGATAAATAATTTTTTTTGTAAAATCGGAGCTGTATTCATAATAAAAAATATGTTCATTGACATGAATAATATTTTTATTGTTCTTAAAAAATATGACATAAAAAATAAATGTTATTCATAATATAATAGTTATTTTTAATGTAATTTTACCTTAATTGGTAAAAATGGCATTTTTCATAAACAGGAAGACGGTAAATGGAGTTTTGACAAGTAAAAATATTCACACCTACCACCAAAACGTCCTCGTCCATTTCAAATATGAGTGGGTTAGTTGGGTAGTTGGAGTAGAGTGTTGTACTGTACACAACATCTGGCCTCAAGCAAGCAACCACCACCGGAGCAAAAGAATGCCGTCGACCGGTGTGATCAAGTGCAGGGCGGCGGTGGCGTGGGCTGCCGGCGAGCCACTGTCGATTGAAGAGGTGGAGCTCAGCCCTCCTCAGCCCATGGAGATCCGCATTCAAGTCGTCTCCACTTCTCTTTGCCGCAGTGACCTCTCCGCTTGGCTCTCTCAGGTTCCTCCCTCTCTCTCTCTTTCAATTTTTTTCATCTTGCTACTCTTATCTGTTCCATCTATGGTGATGATTATTTTGAATGCTTGCGTCATTTGAAATCCGTTGACAATATACATAAAAGAAATTAAATGGGGTATCAGCAAGGATCGGCTTTGATAAACTTCCTGGCAATTCGCCTCTTTCGGGATCTTCTATGAGTCTATTAGCTTCTTTCTTCCAACGGAGATCGCTCACCTAAGAAGGAGCTGTGGCACTTTTTCGGTCAATTGCTGAGAAGCAGACGATTTTGGCTTAGAGAAATGCGTCTTCTTTCTAATTGATAACAACTGGGTTTTTGGAATTCTGACACTTTCCGCATCCATTTTGTCTCTGCAGGCACCACCCCAACTTTTCCCTCGAATCTTCGGCCATGAGGCATCAGGGTGAATTTTCTTCTCCTTCCCGCTAGCCTAAATAATTAAATATAGAGACTTTCTATAACTTATGCATTTATATCGAGTTCGAAGGATCTGGTTGGATCTTTACGGGGCATTTAATTAGAACATCGATGAATTCTGGAAATGCAAAATGCCTTCCTAAACTTGTAGATGCATACCTGCAGGATTGTCGAGAGTGTGGGCCAAGGAGTAACAGAATTTGGAGAGGGAGACCACGTGCTGACTTTGTTTACTGGAGAGTGTATGAGTTGCAGGCAATGTGTTTCGGGTAAAAGCAACATTTGTCAAGTGCTAGGGCTCGAACGCCAAGGTGTAATGCACAGTGACAAGAGGACACGTTTCTCGATCAAGGGAAAACCCGTCTATCACTATTGTGCTGTTTCGAGTTTCAGCGAGTACACGGTCGTGCACTCCGGATGTGCTGTCAAGATCAGCCCCACTGCACCTTTGGAGAAAATATGCCTTCTCAGTTGTGGAGTTGCAGCAGGTACTTTATCGTTATTATTATTATTATTATTATTATTCCCAGGCTGATGGTATAAAGTAAGTTTGACGATGTTCTCGGCCTCATCATCAATTAGTACTTTTTCCAGGTCTTTCTTTCTTTCTTGGCTTAGATGTAGGGCCTCCTTCAATAACAATGGAAATAATACTTTAGGGGAAGACGAAAAAATTCAAGTTTTCAGGCTATAGAGCATCACTTGCATTTGTTGATGTCCAGTTTTGATGTGGAAATAAAAAGCTTCCTCATTGTGCTTCACAACTAGGTCTAGGTGCAGCTTGGAAGGTTGCAAATATCTCACAAGGATCGACGGTTGTTGTTTTTGGTCTGGGAACTGTAGGCCTTTCTGTGAGTTTACGGCTTTGTGCTAGACTTATCAAGATTTACATTTTACAATCGCTAACTTCCACAAATAAAGAGGGCATGAAATTTGCTCTTCGTGTTTGACTAGGTTGTACAAGGTGCTAAACTGAGGGGGGCATCCCGAATAATTGGTGTCGACACAAATCCTGAGAAGAGTGTAAAAGGTAATGGAATTTTGTGGTTGTGATATTAACAAATTACATTACACGTAATGGCATAGAAGATCTTCTAGGGACAGTCATTTTATGTTCTGTTGATGATACAGCAATGGCTTTTGGAGTAACAGACTTTCTGAACCCAAATGATCATGACCAACCAATTCATCAGGTTTATTTTTCTCATTTAATTTAGATGGTATCTGGTATCTGTGATACACTGTGTTCTTAAATTTCCCTGCACCACTGTGAAATTCCATCAATTGAGTAGGTTTTCACACGAATTCCCGATCTTATGCTTTCTAACTGTAAATCTAAGTTTTGCGTGTTTGAATGCCGTTTGCAGGTTATTAACCATATTACTGATGGAGGGGCGGACTACGCATTCGAGTGTGTTGGAGATACTGGAATGGTTACCACTGCTTTACAGTGTTGCTGCAGTGTAAGAATTTATTCCTGTTGACTCGTATAATTCTTCTGAATTTTAATTGAAAACTAACTTGTGTGTCTGGTGGGTAATCAGGGATGGGGTTTGACGGTGACCCTTGGCGTGCCTAAAGAGAAGCCAGAGATAGCAGCTCACTATGGACTCTTTCTCACTGGAAGAACACTAACAGGATCTCTCTTTGGTGGATGGAAACCGAAATCCGATCTTCCTTCACTGGTCGATAAGTACCTAAAGAAGGTAAGTTCATAATTATAACCATGTGAATAATGATGACTATTTGAACTCAGAGAGCTGACTGTATACATATTTTTCTGTCAAGAGGGCAATCGGTTGGAATGTGAATTGTATATCTGATCAAGGAAACACTTATGTGCCTGTGGCTGACCTCATTATAACGTATCTGCAGGAAATTGAGATTGATGGCTATATTACTCACAATCTGGAGTTTGAAGATATAACTAAGGCATTTGAGTTGATGAGAGAAGGCAAATGTTTGCGTTGCGTGGTACACATGCCAAAGTAGAGAGCAGTGACTTATGGTGCAACCCGACGTGCAGGAAGATGTGATTATCCCATAAGACACTGCTATTTTAGTGAAAGTGATTATCCCGTTCTTGTTTCATGTGCATGAACACAAAACAGATACTGTAGCCACCTCAGCGAAATGTTAATTTTGCTCATTTAAGTGGAATCTACAACTAAAAGTTTGAAAGATGGGTAGTTCGTAATCGACAACTATCGATAAATTTTTTAAGATAATTTGATGTATTGGAGATTATATGATTTGATGAATCAGTTGAGCTGTCTGGTTGGCAGAACTATAAATTTGCCCTTATAAAATGAGTGTATAAGAAGTGTTGTCTAGGTGTAAGTGTTTATGAGTATGCAATTGGGACAGTAAGAAATAGTCCAACCTGAGCTCATATAGCGTATCCATTGGCTCATTTATTTTGTTGAGCATTGGAACAAAAATTTCTGCTGTCTTAATGTGCCATGATATGGATATCTACTTGAAGCACCATTTACACACTAACATGGAACATGTGATGGCTCACAGTCGTACTCAGACACCATACAAAAACTATGCTTGATTGGGAAAATACTGGAACTTAAGCTTAATATTTCTTCCGTTTACCTTACTACATCTTTTGCCAACCTTTCTCCTATTATAGGTGCAAAGGCCACATATTGTCAACAGGTTGGCCATTCTTAGCTGACCTAACTTCTCTCTCCCGCACTTTCGTGCACTCTGTATTGTAATAATTGTTACTTAGCTGACCTAACCTCTCTCTCTATCTCTCCACCCCTGAGCTAAACACACACACACACACAGAGACATATATATATATATATGTATATATATATATATATATATACTATATATATACATATGTACTCTTGGCCTGTGAGAAAAAAAAATATCCATTTTGCATTCATCCTGTCCGATAAAGGCGAGGCTTTCCTAGTCCGAGTAGAGTAAATATTAAGTGAAAATTAGAATAGAAAGAGTTGTACACCAATGACAGACCAGCATAGGATACATCCGGTGGCGGTTGATGCCGGAGCACCACCAACTCCTACGCGCCCTCTAATGCGGCTGATAAAATCCGACCAACCATTTCAGAATCGTCAAGGACAAGCAATTACAGCAATATCCCACAAAAGGAGGAGTTGCTGGTGCAAATGCCTATGTTGGACAGTCGGCCTCCTCATCCTCCTGCTCGTCGTCATAGGAGCCACTGCAGGCATTATCTACCTCGTTTTCCAACCAAAACTCCCTCAATACTCGGTCGACAACCTCAGGATATCAGACCTCACACTCAATTTCGACCTCAGCCTCTACGCTTGGTTCAATGTCCGAATCACGGCCAACAACCCCAATAAAAAGATCGGTATATACTATGAGAGAGGGAGCCACATGAGCGTGTGGTACAAAAAAACAAACCTTTGCCAGGGTTCGCTGCCCAGATTCTACCAGGGACACCACAACACAACAGTGTTGAGTGTGGGCCTAAGCGGACAAAATCAGTATGGGAGGACTCTACTTGATGCCTTGCAAGAGGAGCAAATGACGGGACGGATCCCCTTGGATCTCAAGATAGATGTTCCTGTCAGGATTAAACTCGGGAAGCTCAAGTTGACCAAGGTGAGGATATTAGGCAGCTGCAGGCTGATTGTCGATCGTCTGTCGACTAATAGCTTCATCAGGATTCAAGCCAGTACCTGTAGTTTCGGGGTCAAGCTCTGAAAGGATTGGGATATCATTCATATTTCATCCTAGTGTAATTTTCTCCTCGTAACTACATTTTCTGGATTCTTCTCTTTATTTTTCCATTTGCACCCCCCTTTTCCCCCATATTTCTGAAAGGGGAAGAGTAACATGTATTCTATGTAATGACTATATGAGAAGTTTGTTTTGCTTTTTCCATATTCAGCTGCCGCATACACAATTTTTTTCTCGTTTTATGCATGACATCAGTACTAAGGTAATACACAATGAAACCAGTAATAGGCAACATTAATAATTTGCATAGTTAACTTGAAATTTAATTCTACTAAGCAACATTTGCTAATATATATTGTTCCCAACAAGGTCAAGGGTTCCACAATGAGCACNAAAAGAAAAGAACAAACCAGGGCACATCACAGGTGAAACAAGACAACATTTCCAACTATGGGATAAATATAAATATACCAAGAGGGAGGACAATTTAGTAATCCCCATTACAAAGCAAGCCATCAACTTATTTGTGTCATCAATATTCTAAACTATGTCTTCCTTCTTTGCTTCAATAATTATTAATCTCTTTCTGACACATTTTTGTTTGAAGCACCATGGCCTTCAAGGAGTCAGAACTAGCAGATTCCAAAATTTACATGTCAAAGTATCCGGCACTTATGTGAAGACAACGAGCAACCAACCAACCAACGACCAAACAATCTCAACAGACTCAACTCATTATTCACCAATCATGAACAAAGCAGGATCTGCAGTTTCACATTTACAGATAACCATCAATCAAACAACCCATTAAAAGGATGAATCAAAATAGAATGCAGAAACAAGAGACACTTACACGCCTGCCAATTAATTCCCCATGGACCTAAGCTCCTCCAATTGCTCTCTTATCTGATCCTGCAACAACTCCAGCCGCTTGGAGAATACCTCCAACTCCAATATATGTTGCTTCCTCCACCTCTCATTGGCCGCCGCAAAACCTAATGGCAGTGAGCTTCGCGTCAGCTCATACACATGCTGCCCACAGTACAGCCCGTGTGGACTGTGATTGGAGTTCATTGAATTGCTCAGCAGCTCCTTGAATATGGGAGACAAACAGCTCCTCACAGTCTCTTCAATTACACTTGACAAAGATCCGGCTACTCCCTGAGCAGGCACAGTTGGCGTTGCCTGAGTGTAATTATTGACATTACCAATGGAGGCAAGTTGTTGTCTTTCCTCCATTTTCACCATGCCAGCTCGGCTCCTCTTCTTGGGCCGTAGGGTTTTGCTGTTTATGTCGATACCATTAAGGTTGGGGCTCTGGCAATCTGCAAAATTAGGGTTGTTTAGGTCATCGTCTTCATCCTCGATGGGGATTGGGACGGGGACAGCGGTGATGGGGAAGGCAGAGGAGGAGACGTTGACGTTGACCGCAGGGGGATTGCCCCAGATCTTGGACGAGATTTCGAAGGTGGCCTGTTCGTGGGGGCTCTTGAAGGTGTATTCTTTGCCGGAGCCGAACTTGTTGACGACGTTCCGGTACTTCTTCTTGAGGCGCCGGAGCTTCTCGACGAGCTGATTCTTGTTAAAATCGAGCTGGAATTTGCTCCTGATCTGGTCGTAGAAGGCGGTGGTGTCGTGATGATGCTGGGAGGAGCCGTGGGGCCCACGGTGCAGGCTTGTGTAGTCGAGGAACCCCTGTAGCAGCTCGATCTCGTCCTCATCAGTCCACAGGCGCTGGAAGAGCTTGCGGGACTCGTCCGGTGGGACCTGCCTTTTGGCGATGACGATTTCCAGCGTCTGCTGCTGCTGCTGCTGCTGGTGGCGGCGGCGGCTCAGGTGTGGATCGGGGATTCCGGGGACGGCGATCGTGACCTGGGCGTCGGAGGTGGATGGGGGATGACGATCGACGGCGAGGGCGGCGGAGGAGGCGGAGTCGTCTTCATCGTGATCGGAGAATTCCTCGTCGTCGAGGAGATCCTCGTCGTCGTTGAAGTGGCCAGGGACGGCGGGGTCACCGGCGGAGGCCATCGGAGAAATTTGGTGATTAGGTTTAGTTGAGCATTTTGCGAGGACCAGACCAGACGGACTGTGTTAATTGGTGAGGGTGGGGTTAGCTACTTGGCTTGGTCTGCTTTTCAGTTCCGTGACTCGCTAAATATCTTCATATTTTTAAGGCCCAACATAACTTTACCTTTTATCTTTGAAGCATAATCTTTGTATCTTCATATTAAGGCCCAAACTTTTAACAAAAAAATGTTTGCTTATATTATAAAATGTCATATGTTTATTATGTTTTTGTATAGTATGATATTTCAATTTAAAAGAATACACATTGTCCAGATTTTTTAAATAATTTGTGAGGAAAAACGCAACCAAATTAAAACCCCAGAAAATTTGTTATCAGCTTTGAGAACACTATGAAGTGAATGCAATTTTGATCGTTCGTAAATAGACATATCGTTAGCTCTTGGCTAATTTAAAAAAAAAATGTATGAACCAACCACGTGGAGGAGCTCCAAAGCATAATTAAGTGCATTTGGTTACCAAATGAAATCCACACTGTGCAGGCTGAATCTCTATTTAACAGATTGATGCTTTTATTCAACTTTGGCTTTACATCAATATTCTTGAAAATGGTACAAATTTACTATGTTGTTACTGTTGTTGTCACAAGATTAACATTCTCTTTTTTTACTTTTCTATATCTATATTTATATCTATAATCTGTAACTCTCTTAAAAGGATGAGTGATTTTTTAAAAATATTGAATCGTCCATATTACCCTCAAAAGATGTTACTTTAAAGGACATAAATGTAAATGATTATTTTAAACAGAAACTTGAATTGCCAATACTACCCTCACAAAAAAAAAATATAACTTTTGTTTGAAGGATATAAATGTAATACTATAATTTTCTCTCCAAATCACACCTATCTTCTTTATTATAAGTAAGTTGTCTCCAACTCTTTCATTTTCTCTTCATCATATACAATTATTTTTCACTCATATGAATTTTATATTAAGCTCATCCTATTATTCTTCATCATCTACAAATATTAATTTATTTAAGTAATCAAAGAATATGGTAGGTTTATTTGTTGTATATAGAAGGTTGGCTCCACTATGGAGCCAACTGTTGGCTTCATAGCAAAACATGAACTAAAACTGATAATAAAAATCCTCAACATGGCTGCTGATCATCTGCAGGCTGTAATAAAAGATCTTTAGCACTGTGGCAGGTCTTCTGGAGGCTGTTCGATCGACTCCGATTCCCCTTTTCCATTCTCAATCAAGAATGTCATTCCCAATCCCCAACTCAAATGTGAATCTATATGGCAATGGAACAACCAAACACCTGCATTTATTTAACTACACAACAATCAGCAGCTAANTCGACTGCCAAAAATATTATATGATTTTTATAAAAATGAGTTTTTAAAATTCTAGCCCAATCTACTCTTAATTTCTGGATTCGTCCCTGCGTAAACTCATAGTTGTGAAAACCTGCACTAAATGGTTGTCCTTTGACACGAGAAATTGTGCATAAACCTTACCAAATGAAAATACAAGAGAGTTTTAAAGCAAAAACAAATTACCAAACATTGCCACAAGGTCCTAAGAAGTTTTTTTTTTTTAAAAAAAAAAACGAACTGTCAAAACTGATCCAAACTGCTTCAAACTGTTGCCTCTATGTCCAGGCACAAAGGCGTCGCGGCGCGGCACATCTTGCGCCGCGAGACTTGGGCTATCCTTGGTCTCTCTCGGGTCGTGATGGACATTGCGGCACAATGTTCGCACGACGCCCCGTGTGCTGTCGCAGCATGGCAGGCCTCACGACGCGAGGCCTGGACTTTCTCCAGCCTCTGTCGGGTTGTTACGAGTGTCGCGACGCAAGGCTTTGGCGCAACACTGTAGCTAGTTGGTATTTGACATGACACCTGAGTCTAATTATGTATCAATCCAAAACATAGAATTATGACAAATAGGATCCTGAAGCAGGTAAGAGTCTATCACTTAAACTCAGGACATTCGAGAATTATATACATAAGGATAAAAGAGAAAAAAATCTCTCCCATGTACTTTTTTTTCTTTTCTTTTTTCTTTTCGCGACAATATAATTACATTCTATTATATCATACTTTCATTCAGGGGCGGATCCATATGAAGGGGTAGGGCTGGCATTTTTTAACCGAAAACCGAAAACCGAACCGAACCAAACCGAACCGACGAGAAAATAAACTGAACCGTACCGAACCGCTTGTAACGGTAACCGACTATCGGTTACCGAATCACTATCGGTACGGTATCGGTTTGAACCCATAAGAGTTCGGTAAAACCGATACCGAACCGATAAGGGAAAAAAAATAAAACAAAGATTTTTTTTTTAAATATTAAAACAATGATTAGTTGTTTAGTGTTCAAAAATTGAAATAAGGGCTCAATCCTACTTAAATCTCAAAACGACGAGAAAAATACCATTACAATCGGAACATTGTTGGTTTACCAGTCTCACTTCTTCTAAAGAAGATGCATGCTACCGTTACTGTAGTCTATTCTCGTACCAGCGTTACGAGATAAGTTAGTTGAAGTTGTATCACAAATTTTATTTCTTGCATGTTAGCCATATATTGTTTTATTAGTTGCGTTTACCACAAAAACCATAATCTAATAATATATAAACTAACTTCTATACATTAAATTTAAGCTTTTTAATCCTTCAATGGATTCGTGAGTCTTTTGTGTGTATTTAATTGGTAAGAAGTGAAAAAAATTACAAAAATGACAAGGAAAGTAAACACTAGCAAATTTTTTTTTTGTGCTCAAAATCGGTTCGCTTTTTTGGGTATAAAACCGATACCGAATTGAAACCGAACCGAGATTTTGGTTACTGAATTTTCAGTAACCTTCGGTACCGGTTTTGCATTCCGAGGTTACCGACATTATTGGTACGGTATCGGTATACGCTTATCGGTTCGGTAATCGAACCGATACCACCCCTATGAAGGGGAGCTTAAGGCTCAATTTTTTGTGTTAAGATAGCTAACATGTGCTAATCAAAAATTTATATTTAATTTGTGTAAAAATATAAACACAAGTTTTTATTTTAAAATTTGAAATAATTCTTACAAAATAACATTATTGTTTTTTATTTAAACTGATACATTTCACCGGTCAAATTCGACGATATTATAGTATAACATTTTTAGTACTTATATCATATAATAAGCTTGATAGATAAAATTATTATTCTTTAATTATAATAGATAAATATTTAAAAATTTATTGATAGAGATCAGATAGATATGACTAAATTTAAAATATGAATTCCAAATTATAAATTCTCAAAATATGACTAAATTTAAGTTATCATATATAAAAAATGATAATATGTATAAATGTTATTGACTTTTAAAATATATTTACAATTTAAGTTACTCAAGCGTTTAAATTTTGATGTTTGGATAAAGATTCATATTTGTATGGACTATTTCGAATCCTAGGAATTAACATATAAAATTACAAAGTGTTGAAAATTGACAGTGAAAAACTCTACATTTATTTATATGAAGATAATCCATAAGTAAATCTTTATAAAATAACAAGAACAAAAATGATTACATTTAGGCTTTTCTTAAATTAATAAGTTATATTTCAAAATGACTTGTTTATTTTTTATTACAAAAAGTGAAAGCAAAAGGATTGTAAAACATTTTTGGTATATTTCTTAATAATAATAAAAACACAAAATAAAATAATCAGACTTCATTCTCAATTTCATCTTTAGCATCAAGTCAAAGGCAAATTAAATAGGGGGCCCCTCAACACCTGATTATTTCAATGATTTATTTAATTATTAATATAAGTACTTTGTGCAATATGGTTAAAAATTTCTTCGAACTATTTTTTACCCTGGCTCATAAGAATTTCTGGTTACGCCACTGCTTTTATTTTCATTATTTATAATGGGTATGTCTTGTGAATTAGAGAAAAATGAGAAAAGATAGTATGATGCTTCCATATTTCAGGGTCCACTAAAATATCCAAAACCTTTAAGTAGTCTTTATTTATAAAGAGGATGAGGAAAAAATGGTGAATATCATGTTTAAAAAGTATGTATATTATATTTTATAGCTAATAAAGAAAAATTTAGAAATATACTAGACGGTTGCCCATAGCTTTCGCGTCCCTCTAAAATTGCAGTCATGGTACAGTTCATATAACTTAACCAGTTAATGGATTTTGGAAAAAAAAAATATTTATTAAAATAATTTTTTATTGATATCTAATTTTTATTTTATTATGTTATTTTGTATACTTTTTGTGTATTTTATTTGGACTGCAGTACTACCCTCAAGAAAAAAAATGTAACTTTTGTTTGAAGGATATAAGTATAATCTTATAATTTTCTCTCCAATTCACACCTATATATCTTCTTTATTATAAATAAGTTGTCTCCAACTTTTTCATTTTCTCTTCATCATATACAATTATTTTTCACTCATATAAAATTTATATTAAGCTCATCCTATTATTCTTCATCATCTACAAATATTAGTTTATTTATGACAAGAGTATGCACAATCCCATTTTGGAGCATCATCTACTAATTGTTTGTCCTTTCCAATCACAAATTGTTGCAGATTAAAGTATGCACCTAATTTATGTGGCATCTAAATGTTTTTCAAATAAAATTTTTATTCAATATGGCATTATGATTCATTTAAATTATATCTTATTGCTGCATTTCATTTTTTTTTTTAATATTTTAGTATCACGACATTATAATTATTTTACGTTTATCATACTTATATTTTCATTATTTGTAGTGGGTATGTCTTGTGATTTAGAGAAAAATGAGAAAAGATAGTATGATGCTTCCATATTTCAGGGTCCACTGAAGTATCCAAAACCTTTAAGTAGTCTTTATTTATAATGACAATGAGGAAAAAATAGTGAAAATCATGTCTAAAAAGTATGTATATTATATTTCACAGCTAATAAAGCAAATTTTACAAATATACTAGAC